TGGCTACACACCGTAGCCCATGGCAACCCACTGCCACAGGGGCTGCAGCCTATGCCGTTGCTGGCGACTCATGGCAACCCAGCTCCAGGTTGAGCTGTTGTTCAGCATCTTAGCTGTGGAGGGCAGTGTCACTGGCCCTCATATGTGGGATCCGAACCGGGGCCCTCTGGCGTCCCAAGCCAGTTCTTAACCATCGCGCCACTCGGCCGGCCCCTCCGGGCACTTTTTTTAGGGCTGCCATTTTTGCTTTAGGGCTTTTTTTTTTTTTTGTATTATAAAAGCATAAATCCTCTTCGGGTTTCTTTCAGTTAGTGAAAACAGGTACAAATAAAGGTCTTTCGTCAAATATCTTTGTGATATAAAGCGAACTTTTAAAACATGGGGGATACTCGCATATTGTAAGCAATCAAAACATGTTTATGTTGGCCATGAGGACAGCCCAAGAAGTAGACCTGATTAAAACCTAGTTCGAGGTAATATGTAACTGCTCCTGGCGAAAGCCTTTCTCACTGTCATTAACTGCTGAGCTTGTATTTTGTCAGACACTGGGCTTGGAGAACTATGGAGCGAAGTAAGCAGCAATATATCCCACCAGCCTCTGTGATACAAGGTATCGCGGAATCAGAGCAAGGACACTTTATGATCAGTCTCTGTGTCTAGTGTATACAAAGTAGTCATTTGTTCCAAGGGTTACGTGACATATATAGCTCTAGGTTTATGAGAGCTAGAAGTGAAACTGTATGCATAATTAAGAATAACACATGGTAAATATGCTTTAAAAGCTTAGTACAAGTATGTGTTTTTATTCCAAATAGAGGCAGCGTGGGCCGGCTGAGTGGCTCAGTTGGTTAAGAGCTCGCACGAGCGCTGAGCAACAGAGGTTCAAGTCCCGGCCCAAGCTGAGCTGCCTCTGAGCTGCCAACCGGTGGCAGGATGGCTCAGCTTAAAAAAAATAAATAAAATAGAGGCTGCAGCCCCTAACTCTTCCTATCGATGGCTCTATAAAATACCCACAGGAGGAAACTCTCCAGGTAGTTGGAAAGGACTGAAATGGGAGACGCCATAGACATTTGTAGCCAAAAGAAGACAGGTGAGAACTCCATTCTCTTGCTGGTATCTGGGTGAGAGCTGCTTCTTTTATCAGGAGGACATGGTCACATATTTAATCTGACCACCCTAACCTGGGCTATTCTCCCTGCCAAGGCTCATTTCCAACGAGAAAGGTCTCCAGGTATGGAAAGGGGGGATGGATGACAAAGTGGTACCCTGCCTCTCTCACTCTGGTCTCCCTAGCAGATAGCTGAGTGTGGAAGCCTCCAGAAACCCTAGTCATGATTCAAAAGATGAATACAAAGTCATATTTGATTTCTGCAATTACAAGAGGTGCTCAAAGTGGTTACCATCAGCATAATTTTAATGCAGTTTTTTCCCTTCTTAAAATGTGTATACATTTTTTTTGGTACCCTCTGTATATTTGATTTGTGGATTTAAATCTAAGGCCTACGGCTCAACCATTTGTCTGCAGTGTAGCCTCTCTGTGCTTTCGTCTCCTTTCTATAACACCCACCTAGCAGGTTTGTTGTGGGGATTAAAAAGGTGATTCAGGAAAAGCAATTGAGATAACAGGGCCTGACACATTCTCTACAAATGGAGAGAGAAATAGGGAAAGGGGGTTGCAGGAGGGCCTCACTTCCTGCAAAGCGCTGGCACAGAGCCTGGCATGCAGAGAGCGCTCAATACCCGCACACGGCTTTGCTACCCTGATCACTTCCGAAGCTGTGTTCCAGTGACTTGGAACTGCTCCTGGCTTCTGCAGGTGCCCTTCTCTCTTGGCCTCGGCGACTTTGCAGAGGCGGCTCCTTTCTTCGTCCCACCTGGCTGTTTCCTCATTGTCCTTCTAGGCAAGCTTGGTTACCACCTCTTTCGGCATACCTTCTTTGACCCGGAGTGTGGTTCAGGAACCTCCCTGTGCCCTCACAGCCTTTGCTTATGTCCCCTCCCCCAATCAAAGTCTGACCCATTGTGTGAGTGTTGTCCTTGTCCCAGACTAGGCTCGTGAACTTCAACTCCATGAACGCAGACCGTGTCTTACTCCTTCCTCACTGGTCTGTCCCTAGCACTGGGAGCTGGCCCAAAATAAGTGTTCAGAAAATGCTTGTTCGACAGTGGCAGAAGGGGAAGGAACACATGCTTGTGACTCTTCTGTGGGGACCCTGTGCCTTCGCTGCCTCTCAGGGCTGGGACAAGTGCCTCCTGTGTTCCCAGAGCCTCCTGGGATTCCTTATACCACAGCACGGGTCTCAGTCATGGTCTTTGCATGCCTGACTGTTTAATTGATATATGTATTAGTTAGCTCTTTCTATGATAATGCTGGGAAACAAACATCCCCCCCTCCCCCAACTCTCAGTGTCTTATATGAACACATATTTTTCTTACTCATGAGCCTACAACTCTGCTTCAGGATACATGTGCGTTTCAGGTCTGCTCGTTGGAGCTCTCATTCTGGGAACAGGCTACCCAGGGCCAGGTCTTTTCATGGTGGATTGCAAAAGCACAAGACAGCTGAAACACAAGACATCTCTTAAGGCGTCACTCACTCGGAACTGGCAGGGTCACTCCCTCCAATACACCACTGGCTACAGTAAGTCCTATGGTCAGCTCTACACTGGTAGTGTGGGCCCTGGGGACTGCCTCTCACGCCAGTGAACCATGGCAAGGACTGGAAGAGAAGGAAGAATTGTGAGCAAATAGCACGACTTACACAATAGCTCATTACTGACTATAACAGCTGACGCCTATTGTGCTTGTTATGTCCCAGGCACCAACATCGATTCATTTATTCCTCACAACAACTCTAGGAGGGGGAAGTGTGATATTATCTCCATTTTACAGATGAACAAACTGACGGCAGAAAAGGCTAATTTACCACGTTAGCTGGCTCGAGAGTGACAAAGTGGAATGAAACCTGGGCAGGACAGGGCCCAGAGCCCAGACCTGTCACCATTCCTCCCGCTGCCTCTTGAGGTAGAGGTGTGTCTCCTTTATCCTGGTTCAGTACCTTACCTGGTTAGGCAGGCCGCCAATCAATGTTTGTTGTCAGAATGAAAGGCAAGAAATATTTATTGACCATTTGCTACATGCCAGGTACTATTGTTACCTTTTATAAATATTATCTGATACAATTCTCACAGTAACCCTGGGGGTTAGTACCATCCTCCCCATTGCACAGGTGAGAACTCCAAGGCTGGGTAGAACAGACAGTAAGTGGTAGAACCAGGTCTGTGAAAGAGGCTTGCCTGACCCCAGGGCCTAGCAGCTGGGGCCAATCCTGAAACTTAAGGGGGTCGCGCTGGATGGGACTGGCTGGCTCCATCTTTTCAGCTTTCCCACGTCTCTGGGAGATTTTTGCTGTTTTAGACCAAGGGACATCTTCCCCCAACCCCCGCAAGAGAGACGCAGAAAGAGATAGAGATGGGGTGCGGATGGGGAGACAAGGTGGGGCGACTCCGAAAGAACCACGGCTTTCTACCCAAGCGCAGACAGTGGCTTACGGCGCCCAGCAGATGGCAGGATGTGGCCAAAGATCCCGCAGCCGGGAGGGCGGGGAGGGCCACTGCCAGGCGCGGAAACCCGCGCGTCCCTCAGGGAGCGCCCTCTGAGGGCCAGCGCTCGCCCCACTCGGCCCCACGAGCTTCGGGCGCACGCATTGTACCCCAGTCTTTAGCACCCCCGTCACTGGTGCGTCTCCCTTCCCCCGCCTGGGTTCCCCACTCCCGCCGCCAGGGGCCCACCGACCCACAGGAGAACTGCCCTTAATCAGACTCAAGCCTGCGGACAAGCGGGAGTCCCGAGGTCCACGCCCAGCCGCTCCTGGGGAGAATGGTTTTGGGCGAACCACGCCCCGTTGGGCCTAAGCTTCCCCTTGTACAACGAAGGGACCAGATTGGGCCGTAAAAGGTCTAGTAGACCTTGTTTAATTTATTAAACACTTAGAACAACATGAAAAGGAAAAGCGGCAGTTGGAGAACCGGTCTGAGCCCGAATAGGCAAATAAGACTCAATGGGGCGTCGGGGGTGGGGGTGGGGGTGTCTCTTGGCAGCCAGGACAGACTAACTACTGACCAAAGAGCTCCTTTACCCCTGAACCTCAGTCTGCCTGACTCCGAAATGGGGAGCAGTGATTGTTCCAACCGTTGGGTTGTTGAGCGATGACCTGGGGATGGTGTTTATAAAGCGCTCAGCGCGGGGCAGGAAGAGGCGCTCACACATCGCTTGCAGCCTGGAGGTAGCGCCCAACGCCGGCATCCGGATTCCCTGGGGCTGACCCAGTACTCAACTTCGGCGGGTGCGGCGGGGAGGCGCTGGCCGTCGCCTCCTCCTCCAGGCCGCCCCCCGGGTCTGCGCTTGCCGGCGGTGCCCGCCACGCCTCCTCCTCCAGGCCGCCCTCGGGGCTGAGCCCGCCCGCCGCGCCCGCTCCGCGCAGCCCCCGCCCGCTCCCTCCGTCCCCGCCTCCTCCGCCCGCGCCGCCTCCCGACTCCCGCCCGCCGCAGCTGCTGAGGAGCGCGCTCCGTGGCCCCGACGCGGAGAGGTTCGGCCCCGGGTTCCTGGGCGGGCGCGGCGGGCAAGCGAGCGTCCCCTGAGGGGTGCCCGGGAGGAGCGAGTGCGGCGGAGGAGCCCGCGCAGCCTGGGGGGCGCCCGGGAGGAAGGGGCGCGGCGGGCGCGGTCCCCGCCCCTGCGCGGCGCGTGGCCCCCTG